CGTACGCGGTCGGGCGGGTCGTCTCAGTGCGGGGCGCCCCTGCCCTGTCACAATTGTATATTTGTATAATCTGATAGAAATCTTGTTTGACAGACATTAAAATAAAGGAAAATATGTGGAGAAAATAGGCAAGGGAATGGAATCAAAGTGGCAAGAGTGATTTGGAGGAGAGAGAGAGGCAGTATTAGAATTCACAAAAAGCTGATCTCCTCTGAGAGAGAATGGAATTGCTGGCAGTTGACAGACCAAGATAAAGGGCTGTCTGACATGCCTGATAGTAGTAGAAACAAAGACATGGGTAGGCTGAGGAACATGGGTTTGAAAAATAACATTCTGGTGCATAATGCCTAGAAAAAGGAAGTGGGTATAAAGTTAAATTATACAAAAGAGGAAAAAAGGATTAAGTAAATGAAATGTGTGTCAGGAATAATAGCAGTGGCAGTGATTTTTCCAGATTTCAATCCAAGGTCCATGCAGTGCAGATGTGAAAAGGACATAGGGGTAGATATCCAGGAAAATGTTTTCTTCCCATTATAGGGTTAGATTAACAAAGGAGTTTGTCTTATTAACCAAGGCTCTGCTGTGATCAATAGAATCAGAAAAGAGAATGATCTGATGATGTTACACAGCAAAATCAAAATGCATCTGAAAGCATGAGTGGTGGATATAAAAGGTAAGGGGGCAGCAATGCCTTCCCTTAGTCCTAGGGTGTGTCTAGACTATGCTGTTTTTTCGAAAAAAGGTGTCTTTTTTCTAAAAAACTTTACCCGTGTCTAGACTATCGCCACATTCTTTCAACAGTAAATTGAAAGAACGCAGCAGTTTTGTCAACAGCAGTAAACCTCATTTTATGAGGAATAACGCCTTTTTCGACAGAGATCTGTCAAAAAAAGGCGTGTGTGGACATGGGGATGGGAGGGGGGGGGTCGAAAAAACAGACCTCCAGGGTAAAACACCCTGGTGGACACTCCATCTGCAGGAAAACCCTCTATAGTTCCTGTCTGTAGCTATGTCTTAAAGGCACAGGCGGCAGCAAAGCAGCAAGAGGAAGCCTCTGACCACATGGCTCTCCCTGCCTGTCTACTAAAGAAGCATGGCACAAGCCCAAGACACCCGAGGTCCCCAAGGACCTTCCAGGGAGCCATCCCACAAGGCTTCTGGGGGCACCAAGAGGCGAGCTCCAGCCTGGTCAGGGCCAGAGGTCCTGACACTTTTAGAACTTTGGGGAGAGGAGAACCGCTGCAGACGCTGCATTCCCGACACTGCAGTACAGACATTTACACCCGCATGGCCAAGGGGCTGGCCAAAAAAGGACACCGCCCCAGAACCTTGGACCAGGTGCAGGCCAAGATAAAGCAATGGAGGCAGGCCTATGCCAGGGTCCGCGAGCGCAGCTCCACCTCAGGGGAAGCGCCTCACCACTGCGCGTATTTCCAGGAGCTGGACAGACTCCTGGGTGGTGAGGAACCCCTCTCTGCCCCAGTTCTTGTGCAGTCCAGGTTGCAGACACCGGTGCAGCAGTGCCAGGAGGGGGCTGAGGACAACCCGGAGGAGCAGCTGCAGGATGAAGAGTTGGAGGAGGTCCCCAACCAGAGTCTGGTCACCCTGACCCTGGAACCGGTCCCCCAGACCCAGGAGACCTTATAGGCATTCTCTGATGCTGGTGAGGGAACATCAGGTGAGTGCGGTCAGGGTCACACACACAGAATGGGGGAGGTGGAAACACAAGGGATGTGGGCCAATCTGCACTTGTCATGTTCTTCCTGGACAGCTTGCACCTCTCTGTGCATGTGCAAGCATGTTCATTCCCAGGGCACACATGGGCAGGTGCTCACAGCTCGGGGAGGGCCCCACACATGTCTGACCCCAGGGAGGGCTGTCCTCCCCCCGCCAGGAACTGTGGGAAGCAGGCTTGTCACAAGGGCGCACGCACGACAGCACAGACCACAAGTATCATACCTAGCACTTGGGCATGTATGCACAAGCGACACAACAATCGCTCCTGCAGACAGTGCTGCCATGGGTAGGTGGTGTGTGTGTGGGGGGGGGGCCCTGGGAGACCCAAGGTGCTACATGCCCCTGTCCTGCATCTTGTGACCCATTGTGGCTGGACACTTCCCTGGGTTGTATGGCCATGGTGGGGGGTAGGACGGGACATGGCCCTAGTCACGCTGGGACCCCTGTGAAGCCGGGGCTGCTGGCCAGGCCTGACGTGGGTTTGCAGTGAGAACATTCCCATCCCTTGTTCTAAGGACTTACTCACTGATCACAAGCAGGGACAGTATGTGCATTCATAAAACTGACCACTTCTCCCTCTTCTCCTCCACAGCTGGACCTGCCGGATCAGAGCGACATGCGACACCTGTACCACCACCCACCCGGTCCTACAGAAGCCTCAGGCACTGGTGGGTCTATAATGACCTCATGCGGAGGCATGCAGAGGCCCTTGAATGGATGGAAGAGTCCATGGCTGAAAGGGCACGGGAAGAGACTCGGTGACACAACTGCTTGCTGGAGGATTTCCTCCCGCAGTGGATGGCAATGTGTGGGAGTATCAGTGAGGCCCTGGGTGTCCCAGGTCCTATCCCTATTGCCACTCCTCCTGCTCAATCTGCTCTGGCCCCCTCTGCCCCCCCCTTCCTGCCCCTCAGCCCCTGCCTCCCTTCCTCCCCCTCATCCTCTGCCCCAGCTTCATCCCCTGCTATCGCAGACCCAGCTGCAGCCGCTCCCACACACTGCCCCAGGCCCCACTCAACCCCAAGCACATTTAGGGCCACGGACCCCTTTTGCGGGCCAGGCGACACTCTAAGCCCTAAACTGCCCGCCCTCCCTCTCTCCTCCAGGTTTACATCCCCCCTCCTCCCCAGTTTTAAAAAAAACGTGACTAGTTGAACAAGAAAGTTTATTTTTGAAAACATTTTGCACGCAGTTTTATTTTGTTACAAAAAGTTAATTCTTTGCACATTGTTTGATAATAAACATAACATTTTGATATAAAACATAGTGTGTGTGTGTGTGTGTGTGTGTGTGTGTGTGTGTGTTAACTGTCCGGAGACTGGTGCAGAGATGGGTTGTGGGAGGAAAGGTCTTGGGGCTAGGAGCCCAGGCCAACAGGTCCCATTGGGGAGGGCCTGAAGAGAGTCATTGGGCTCCTGCTGAGAATCTCTCATGCAGAGCCTCCCGGATGTGGACCCCCACCTGATGGGCTTGGCGGATGGCAGCTGTCTGGGGCTGCTCGAACCGCTTCCCCTCGACATTAACCCGTGTCTCTCACCCTGGGAGGAAGGCCTCCCCTTTGCTCTCCTCCAGGTTGTGACTCACGCAACATGCAGCCACCACCTCAGGGATATTGCGTTCCGCCGTGTTGAGGCAAGTGAGCAGGCACCTAAACCTTCCCTTCCGCCGGCCAAAGGAGCATTTGACCTGCAAGCACGCCTGTGTCAGGTGTGCATTAAATTGTTCCCTGTTTGCGTTCAGATGCCCAGTGTACGGCTTCATAAGCCAGGGGGTACGCCACATTGGCCACAATGCAGATTGGCATCTCCACATCCCCAACAGCAAAGTTTTACTGTGGGAAGAATGTTCCAGCCTGCAGCCTGTGGTAAAGGTAGGAATTTCTGAAGATCCGAGCATCATGTGCCCGGCCTGACCACTCCACACAAATGTCAGTGAATTGTCCATGGTGGTCATCCAGGGCCTGCAGCACCATGGAGAAGTAGCCTTTTCTGTTGATGTACTGGGCTGCTTGATGGGGCGGTGCACAGATTGCGATGTGAGTTCCATTGAGTGCTCCTCCACAGTTCGGGAATCCCAGTCCAGCAAAGCCAGCCATGATGGTATCCAGATTTCCAAGGGGACAATGCTGTTCAGCAGCTCCGAGTTGCTGGCCCTCACCACCTGCAGAAATAGACACATACGAACACACAGAATAGGAAGTTAGAGGGGTTGCCCGAGTCCTTGGGAGGTGCCCCCTCTTTCTCCCCCCCCAAAAAAACCCCAGGACCCCCCCCTCAGGCAGCTGCTCCCAGCAGTAGGGCAGGGTGAGGCCAGGAGCCCCTTCACTCCCACTCCATTGCCCCCCGCCCTTTCCTGTTACACTCCCCCTACTCTGCATGGATTGTCCCCCCAGAAGGACTTACCTTCATCAACATGGCGCCAACAGTAGATCTCCCCACGCCAAACTGGTGTCCCACTGAATGCTAGCTGTCGGGGGTGGCCAGCTTCCAGAGGGCAATAGCCACCCTCTTCTCCAGGGGGATGGCAGGGCGCAGGTTGGTGTCCTGTTGTTGCAGGGCGAGGGCAAGCCAGGTACACAGCTCCTGGAAGGTTGCCTTACATATCCTGAAGTTTTGGAGCCAAGCCTGGTCATCCCACTGCTCTATGATGAGCCAGTTCCACCAGTCTGAACTTGTCTCCAGCCTACAAAATTGCTTCTCGTGGTACAAGTTTGGTGGCAAGAACAGTGTTGCTGCATCCTAAACGAGGGGCTGAAGGCTGGGGTCAGAATCCAGACCTGGCATGAACACCATGAAGGTCTCGGAGCTGCAGCAGAACCTGAAGCACTACAGAGTGGGGCCATCGCCTGCAATGGGGCAGCTCCGGCTCCATGGCAGAAAAACAATTCAAAGCATGAAAACCAATGAGGAAAATAAATGCTGTGGTATCCCAGAAAGCAGGGCACTCAAAGCAAGCACTGCAGAAGCTTTGCTGTCCGTGTAGGTCCAGGAGGTAGGCAAGCCAGCTGCAGGAGCCAAGGAATGGCTGTTCAGGGGGGCCTCTTTAAGCACGTGTCTCTGCAAAGAGCACGCTGCAGGACCCGGAAGTAAAGGCTGCCCCCATGCCCTGGCAGAAGTGCTTCCAGGTGCCCTTTTTTTGAAAAAGCAGATCACTTTTTCGATCTGCTTAGTGCAGTGGTCTCCAACCTTTTTACACCCAAGATCACTTTTTAAATCTCAGAACAGGCGAAGATCTACCGCCCCGCCCCTTCCTTGAAGCTCCGCCCCTTCCTTGAAGCCCCGCCCTCTCTATTCTCCTCCTGTCCATCACTTGCTATCCCCAGCCCTCACTTACACACTCTGATCAACAGTTTATTTTTAAATTATGCGATACATACAATTAAAATCACGTGTTTATAGTTATGAAATAAATGGTCTGTTTTGTATTCATGCTATTTAAATCTAAAATGAAGCATTTATAATTATACATTTTGTGGGGACAGAGTACTGTGGCTGGGGACAGGGGAGAGGGAACAGGGTGCTGGGAGGGCAGAGGACAGGGTGCTAGTGGGGACAGGGTTCTGCAGCTGGGGACAGGGTGCCAGTGGGGAAGGAGTTCGGGGAGTGGGGACAGGAATAGGGACAGAGTTCTGTAGCTGGGGACAGGAGAGTGGGGACAGCATTCTGTGACTCGGGAGAGGGGGCTGGGGAGTGGGGTGCCAGTGGACGCAGAGAGTCCCCTGCATCTCCCTTCTCCCAGCATACTCCCCCCCCCCAGGGAAACCAGCTGGGGACAGGGTGCCAGTGGGGAAGGAGTTCGGGGAGTGGGGACAGGAATAGGGACAGAGTTCTGTAGCTGGGGACAGGAGAGTGGGGACAGCATTCTGTGACTCGGGAGAGGGGGCTGGGGAGTGGGGTGCCAGTGGACGCAGAGAGTCCCCTGCATCTCCCTTCTCCCAGCATACTCCCCCCCCCCAGGGAAACCAGGT